GGGAAGTGCCCCAAGTGCTTGTATTGGGTCTAGCACCCATTGGACGATCAGGCCTGTGTTCTCCAAGGTGCGCAGAGCCAGAAGTGAGTCCAGAGCCTTGGATGGTGGCAGCGGGAACCCCAGGCTAGCGGGTGTGCTCCAGGGAAGGGGTCGGCCGGACGGGAGGCACCCTAAGGGAGGCACTCGGAGCCTGGAAGGTGGTCGGGCACAGGGAGGTGGGCGGCTCAACGCAGGAGCGCCCCCTACTGGCCCGCCACACGGAGCATGCTGGGATCCTGCTGGGCTCGGTTTTCTGGGTCCTACCCCACAAAGGCAGGACGCACTCGCTGACTGGGGCAGGAGCAGCGCTGGGGCCCGGGCTCTGCTTGGTGCGACTGGTTCATAGAACAGCTGGGCTGTGGGGGCCCCCTAAGCACCTACATGGGTGCCTTGTGCAACCCTCCATGGAGCCCTTTGTAAGGCTCAGGCATTAGCTGCAGTTCAGGGTCCCTCTTCTCCTCCCCGCCCCCCTGTTTGATACAGCACAGCACGCGTACCAGTCTGGGGGCCTTTGTTAAAGCGGGGCACGGTGTCTCCCCAGTCACCCTGGCCAGGCTGTCTGCAACCCAGGCTTGTGGCCCGTCTATCAGCCTCCTGGTACTAATTGTCCACATGCTTGCACTCTCCAGTCCCCCTCTGGACCCACCACTGAGATAGCGGTCTCGTCCCTTTCCCCTTCCCCTTCATGGGGTGTTGGGTCTCCTCTACCAGGTCCTCGACTCTGGCAGCTCCTTCCTCTTGCTTTTTTTTCTGCCTTGAGCTCCCCTCAGCCCAGGCCTTCTCCATGAGGCCCCTCAGATCCAGCCCATCTCCATGCACCTGGTATGGGGTGGGGAGCTGGGCCCCTCTAGCATACAGGTGCAGCCACCATGACCCCCAGCCCCTGAATCAAGGCCACAGCCATGGAGCTGGTTCCCAGGGGCCAGTCGGACCATGAGAGCTGTCTGTCTGCCCAGGATCTGTCTGTCCGTCCACGTCCTTGCATGGACCCTGTCCCCACAAACATCAAAACAGGACTGGAGTGGTCTTGGATCTCCCCTGTCTGCCAGCAGGTGGCACCGTCACCCCATGCATCCCTGCTTCCTTTCCATCCAGGGGTCTTGTACCTGGTGGGGCAGGGCACGTCCCTGGCTCTTTCCAGGTGCTACAAGCCTGTCTGGTCCCAAGTGCAGAGTCCTGTCCCACCGGGGCCCCAGCATTTCTCTGCTGAAAGAAACCTCAGTGTGGGGACATGGGGAAAGGTGAGCTAGCAGCCGCAAGAGCCCGCGTGACAGCTCGTGCCCTGTGTGCAACCACAGAGGAAAGCAGAGAGCAGCACACGCATTCGGTATGCACACCCTCGTGTGCACACAAGAAAGGAAAGAGAGGCCAAAGAAACACTCCTCTCCCACCTTTCCAGCCCCCCAAACATCTCAGGCACCTTCAAAACCCCCTTTCCCCAGCCTCTGCCTCCTCCTTGCCCCC